TTTTTTTTTTTTTTTTTTTTTTGTACCGGGGATCAAACTCAGGATCTTGCACTTGTGAGGAAGGCGGCAGAACCACTGAGCTAAATCCCCAGCCCAACTCACCTGCTCTTGATTATTATTATTTGGCCAATTTTTCTTTGTACCAGGGATTGATCTCGAGACCTTGCGCTTGCAAGGCAGGTGACAGCATCACTGAGCTAAATCCCTGCCCCCCTGGCCAAATTTTTTAATGTAAGAATAGGACTCTCTTTTTTTAAGTCAGCTTCTCTTGTTTCCTGATTTTGGACCAGAACCTTCTACCTAGGCTTGGGTTTCCTTCAGTTTGCTCTACCTTTTGATACTATGATATGAAGCATTTTGGGCTAGTGTTCAAAAACCAGAAATTTTAATTTTTTAATTAAATAATATTATAATTTTAGTTGGCAAATATTTGCTTCCAAACAAATGCTATGCCTTACCAGCATCTGTAATGGTTCAGATTTAGAGTTATTGTTTAGTGACTCATTAATTCGCTAAGAACAAGAGACCAAAGTAATGTATCAGGGAAGAAAGCCATCAGCTGAAAAAGCAGGAGGCTAGAGAGTAAGTAGAAAATGAAATGATACAGAAAGGTGAATCTGCTGGCTGGCTTGTGCCCACTCACTTTATTCTTTTCCAGCACCGTGTTTTCCTTTCAAATTACCATCTACAACTCCAAGTATGAATCAAGCTACCACCATTTGCCTTCACTTTCCTTGGGAAAAACTCAGTAACTGGTTTGGAGTCGCTACAGATTCCTAATAGCCAGCCCTAGCCTTCTGCTTTCTTATTAACAAGCCTCTGGTTTGCTTCCTGCAGTGGCTCTTTAACAGCTCTGTCCCACTGCAAGGTCACATTAAGAGTCATGCTGTCTCTGCTTGCTGCACCCCTACAACCTCCTACCAGACCCAGCTCTTTGTCTGCAGAGACTGTCTGGATAGTCTTTGTAGTCACAACTCCCGACACATAGTAGGTAGTCAAGAACTTCTAAAACTTTGAATATCTAAACTAACCAATAGACTTTTGTTGTGAACATCTTTTAGAAAAATCTGAAAATAACAAAATAGAAAGAAAGGGTAACTAAAGCTGTATGGATATCCTGGTTTTCTTCCACAGACACAAGCTCGGATAATTTTGGATACAACCTGTTGACGTTCATCATCTTATACAACAATCTTATTCCCATCAGTCTGCTGGTGACTCTTGAGGTTGTGAAATACACACAAGCTCTCTTCATCAACTGGGTGAGTACGGACACAGAGAGAAGTGCCTGCCACTACTTCCCAATACTTTTCTAGTTTTTGTCATTGAATTGAACTCCCAGGAAAGAAGAATAGAGCACATTTATGATTAGGTCTGGGGGTTAAACTGACCAGACAGAGAACTGGCATGAGTTGCTGTTTAGAGTGTGTCTGGGAAATAGAGAAGACAGTATGCCTACCTATGCCAGGAATGGTTGTAGAGACAGCATAAGATTGTGGAGGTAGGATGCTCAGTGGATGCTTAGCTATGGATGCTTCTGATTTCTCACCAGTGCCAGGAAGGTCTCTTTTGGGATGCTTGCTATTGTGTTCATTATAATATATCAAAATTCAATGCAACAGTAAACTTGGATTTGACTGTAAGAATAGAACAGAATTGGGGTATTTTTATTCTGGGATTTGAACCCAGGGCATCACGCATGCTAGGCAAATACTGTGTCACAGTGAGTGATCACAGATGGTGTGGAGGATAAAAACAATTACTCAGAGAGTCTTGGATGGGCCATTCCTCACCCAAGAGTGCCTAGCCATTAGGAAGACTCTCTGGAGAAGAAAAATCCACTAAGCTGGGAACTCTCTGTTTTATTTAGAATATTAATGTAAGAGGAAAAGCAGTTTGGGCTAGGAGCTTTCTCAGGCTAAGCAGTTTTTCTTGGAGAAAGGGGCAGGACAAATGGCCATACACAACATGTTTCACTTAATCTAAACTTTTTGTTGCTTGGCCATTTGATTCTCACACAGCCTATGTGCTTTTGCCTTGTATTTTAACCATTCACTCCTCATAGAGCCAATCTGCTTTGTCCCACAGTTTAATCAATCAGTGTAATTATTCACTCCTGGCCGGGTCTGCCACATTTCTCTTTTTCATTTTATAAAGTCAGGGATGGGAAGAAAGAGAAAATACAGTGTACATGAATATTAGTTTTGATGTAGGAAGGTCATCATGGCCTCAGCATGGGATGTCCACCAGAACAGTATAAAAAGGGCTTTGAGAACTGTAAGAAAAAAACAACAAAAAGATAATTCCAGCAGTAATGAGAATATAAATGTGAAGGTTGAGGCCAGATAACCAATTTTTGGAATTAGCCAGTAGGCAGTATCATTAAGGTGAGTTAAGGTGATATTGCCAGCTTTACTTGTAGTTGTTGAAGTTGGGCCTGTAATCAGCTCCAGAGATTAGTAATATCTCCATCCAGATTTGTATGAAAGGCACCATGGAGAAGTGTTGAACTTTCTGTTAGGACTATGAATGGTTAAATGGGATGGATATGAGGCACACAGAACAGTATTCGGTATCACAACTGAATTGACTGTATGTCCAGATAACTTGCTGATGTTTGTGGAGCCAGCCAGCTGTAGCCTTAAGGACATCAAGTTACTGAAGGAATTTTTATCAGTGTTGGTCTGAGTACCATAATATGAATGATGTTTAATTGAGGATATTAAAAATTATTTATATACCATTGGGGGATGGAGAGGAATGCAATAACTACTGTTAGTGATATTGGGACTATATATAGTGGAATTTCTTTTGTCAAGCAGTGCCATTTGTGGGGTAACAGGTGCCAAACATTGTAATAGCCAGCGTGGCTACACTCCCTCCTGTAGTCCCTTAAAAGGCCAGGAGGTGGCAGTTAAGTTTTGTTTGTATATGAAGTGTCATTAACGGAGAGATGATTTGGATCTTTCCATGTATCTGTACATACATGGTTCAATAAAGCATGTTGTTTATTTGAGGTATATATGTCAGCAAACTCAGAAAGATAAAGAACCTTTTTACCTTTGTAATTTTGGAGTCGTAAGTGACTTATGCCATCTTTGTAAGAAACAGGCTTTCAGAAGTGAAAAAATTTTTGTGCTTTGCAGCATCTGTTTAGCTTGAGTGGTGAGTTGCCTTTTTGTACTGCTGTGAAACCTTCTAAATCACAATCTAGAAAATTTAAAATCTTAGTAAATTAAATTACAGTCATGGTCTATATTCCCTTCCTTTTTTGTTTTATAAATCAAGCTCTGAGAAGCTCATTGTCTTGTTTTATAATGGTTTATCTTGTGAGGTTATGAGGGATATCGGTGACATATTTAACATGTAAGTTTGTAAGAAAATTGGCATTGCCCTCTATTAGAGGGCTACGGAACATATGAAAGAGCATCTCATCGTTTTTATTATGAGTAAGGGCAGTTTTAATCACTTGTGGAGTCCCCACAACATAGGCCAAATCAGCAACAATATTGAGAGATTGAATCAGAGAACTGTTATTTTTTTATCAATTATGGTTGTCTTAGAAGTTGAATTCTTGTAGAATGTTAACAGATAACAGTCATAAAGTTTTATAGAGAAAATGTGAGGTCACAGAAAACAAGAAACATTTTCATAACAATCATGATGACATTGTTACCCTAAATGATATGTAAAAACTTTGTCATCTTTCAATAGTGTCATAAGAATGCAATAGCACATAGTACAAAGATGTACTTTATGTGATACTGTTTGGACCATACAATGTCTGAGCATTTAAAGTATTGTAACATAAATATATAATGTATGCATAATAATCATTTAAGCACAAGTCTTGAAAACATATTTGGGGCTGGGGAATTTAGCTCAGTGGTGCCACTGTCTGCCTTGCAAATTTAAGGTTCAGAGTTCAATCCCTGGCGCACACACACACACAAATTGTATCTTTGAAGCCCTGTATGTTTGGAAAACAATATTTAATATAGTTAACACATCATGAAGCTAGCGATAATGAGTGTCGCAAATTAGGCTGGAACTTCCCCAGGAGGCTTTGTCTTCTTTTTTGTCATTGATCAGTCTAAGTACCTCTGGTAATCATGCAGAAAAATTAATGTTTAATATTAATTTTAGAAACCTTTGTCAACCAGAGAGGAGAGCTGAGACCTGGGAAGGAGTGACTGCTAGTGCCAGGGCTATAGCTCCCTAATCTTTGAGCAACAAGGAGCTTTCAGAAGGAATAGTTTGGGTTTCACAAAGTCACAAGCAAATACATATATTTTTTTCTATAAACTGCATACTCCACAAGGTTTTTCTTGATATATTTGAGCAGTTCTATCATTATCTATCTATCTTCCTAGCAAGGAAAAGCTTTTATATAAAATCCTCTCATAGCGAAAGTATATCTCTTATACTTATAGCCTTCTTTATATATTTTTCTCTATTCTACTCACTATAAACTTCTTGTAACAAACTTGGCTGTGGCCACTTGGATTTAAAAGTGTTCTTCTCTGTTTCCCCCCTCTCCTTTGGTCTCAGATCATTACATTTTTAGATCTGACTAGGTGCCAACAGACTTTCAGTACTCTTATCACCAGCAGAAAGCAGACATAAAAGCGAGTTAATGTTGAAATTATAATTTAAGAATTTACAATGCAATCCAAATTCATACCTGGAAGCAAGTATTACTTTGATCCCCAAACCAGGGAAAGACCCGACTAAAAAGAGAACTACAGGCCAATGTCCTTAATGAATATGGATGCAAAAATCCTTAATAAGATACTAGCAAACAGAATACAGAGGACCATAAACAAGATCATACATCCTGACCAAGTCAGATTTACTCCAGGGATGCAAGGATGGTTCAACATATGTAAGTCTAAATCAATAAACGTAATACACTATATTAACAGAGTCAAGGACAAAAATCATATGATCCTCTCCATAGATGCAGAAAAAACATTTGACACATTCAACACCCATTCATGATAAAAACCCTGCAAAAAATTGGAATAGATGGTCTATATCTCAACCTAATGAAGGCTATCTATGAAAAACCAACAGCCAACATCATATTAACTGGTCAAAAACTGAAAACCTTCACATTAAAATCAGGAACGAGACAAGGATGCCCACTATCACCACTTCTCTTCAATATAGTTCTGGAAACATTAGCCACAGCAAGTAGACAAGAGAAAGAAATTAAAGCAATAAAGATAGTAAAGGAAGAAGTTAAACTGTCATTATTTGCTGACAATATGATACTCTACGTTGAAGACCCAAAAAACTCCACCAGAAGACTTCTAGACTTAATTGACACTTTTAGCAGAGTAGCTGGATAAAAGGTCAACAACCAAAAATCAATAGTCTTCTTGTACACAAATAACAGACTCACTGAGAGAGAAATTTAAGGAAACAATTCCTTTCAAAATAGCACCCCCGCCCCGCAAAAAAAAGTGTCTAGGAATCAATCTAACAAAGGAAGCAAAAGATCTCTACACTGAAAACTACAGCACTCTGAAAAAAGAGATCAAAGAGGATATCAGAAAATGGAAAGATATCTCCTGCTCCTCAGTAGGAACATTCAATATAGTGAAAATGGTAACACTACCAAAACTGCTTTAAAGAGTCCATTCAATGCCAATTGAAATTCCAACACTATATTTCACAGAGCTAGAAAAAAGAATCCAAAAATTCATTTGGAACCAGAACAGACCTAGAATAGCAAAGGCCATCCTAGGCAACAGAGAGATGGCAGTGGGTATAACAATTTCCAATTTGAAACTATACTACAAAGCCACTGTGATAAAAACAGCATGGTACTGGCAAAGCAACAGACCTAAGGATCAGTGGAATAGATTGGAAGATACAAAAACAATTCCAGATGTACTCAGCTACCTCATCTTTGACAAAGGAGCCAACCATCCTCACTGGAGGCAAGATAGCCTCTTTAATAAATGGTGTTGGAAAAACTGGATTTCAACCTGCCAAAGATTAAATTAGACCCTTATCTTTCACCATGCACTAAACTAAAATCCAAGTGGATTAAAGATTTAAATATTAAAAAAAAAGAGTCACTAAAAATTGCTAGAACTCTTGAAGACATTGGCATAGGAAAAGATTTTATGAACTAATCAGTAGCACAGGAACTAGCAGAAAGAATCAACAACTGGTATCTCATCTTATTAAAAAGCTTCTGCACTGCAAAAGAAACCATCAACAGAACTAAGAGATAACCTACAATGTGGGA